TATATATATATATATATATATATATATATATATATATATATATATTTTGTTTTGTTTGTGCTGATAAATAAATAAATATACATACATACATACATACATACATACACACATACATACATACACACACACACATACATATTTCTGTTATATGTTTGAGTTAGGGTTTGATTGGACAGGTATGAAAAAAATAAGGCCCATTTTAAGTAGGTTCTAAGAGTAGAAGGGTAATGCTCTGCAGCAGTTCAGTTTATGAAGTATGTAGAAAACCACTCAAATGGAAACCTACTCAAAACTCAACAAAGGATAGCTTTCCAAAGAAGACAATAAGATCCGGTACATTAAATACCATTAACTTTACAACAGAACAGGAATAGCTGTCTTGTGCACTAATATTGTATGCCTTGTAGAGATTAAGCAAAGGACACACATGGGCAGGAACATCATGGTTAAAAAAATAGATCAGGAAATGTTAAATAGGAACTTAATAGCAGTATGAAAATGCCTTTTCAAGGTATCTCCAGAAGAAGCACAATTTTTTTTTAAAGAGGGAATCACAGTTACTGTACTGATATAAAGCTTTGTCTGAATCTCTGAAAATTGAAATGCCACTTCTGCTCTAGTCACTACTGATATAATGTAATTTTGGCTGCCGAACTAGAAATACAATGTATGAAGCTGACATCAGGAACCTGATTGTGGCCTGTGGCCAAGAAGGATTCCGCATCCATTTAATCAAGGAGATGCAATGTTGTACCAATTTTGATCCAGAAATGAATGTAATTGCTTTTTGGGGGGGGGGGGGACATTTAGAGGTAGGCGAAGTTTGTGGCTTATTAAATTGGCTGTATCCATTTTAGATGATCCAAAGTTCCCATAATAAGATTTGTTTTCTAAACAAACACTACAAAGATCCAAATGGCACAAATAGTTCATCCCTCCCCAATTTGATATCCTACAATTGTCCTTGACTACAATTTCATCTTCCTTGGCAGCACCATTACTAAGCAGTAAACACAAAAGACAACAGTCTTATGGAAATTTTAAACTAACCAAATTATATTCATAGTTTCGTGGATCAAAAACTAAGCAAAATAAATGTGCTAAGCTTTAAGCTTTTTGTTGTTTTTGCTGTGGAAGGTGTATTCACCCCTGGTATAAATACAAGCCAACAAAGATACATTAATTCTGTCTCCCACAACTTGGTTCT